CAGCTCTATGCACGTTAAGTTAATTTACTGTACAGTTTTCTCTCTAATCTTAATCTTGAGTTATTTTATGAGGGTGTGAATGGGGGTTTACAGAATAGAGAGTAATGGGCAAAAAATTTAAAGAATAGAGAAAAATGCCCCCCCCCCCCCCCTTAAAAAAAAAGAGAACATTTAGATGGTAAAATATAAAGAATAGAGAATACTTGGTAAAAAGTATAAAGAAAAGAGGAAAATGGCATAAACAAATAAAGAATACAGATATGATGGACCCCATTTAGACCCTCCTTTATACATCTAGAGGGTATATTTAAAACAGAGTGAATGCACTATTTCTGCAAACAGTCTATGAAGGTCCATCAAGATATCACTGGCTGAGAATTGACCAGTTCGTCCGACAAGAAATTAAAAAAAACATACCTAAAAAAAAAACCTTTTGTGTTATTTTAGATAATTGAAAAATACCATTGAGGGGGCATTTATAAAAAATAATCGAAAACTCACATCGAAAGTTTAAAAATGGATAAAATATTCAGAACAAAATTTTCAGAAACTCAGTAATGTTTAATAGTCCTTTCTATTATAATAGAATAGGGAATGGAAACGGGGAATGCGTCAATGAGACAACAACCCAATGCAGCGAGAAAATCCCGCACCCGGAGGCGGACCTCAGCTTGACCCTAATCAATAGTGTGCAGCAAAATGGATGCCACACTAAACTCCGAAACATACAAATTAACCAAAAACTAGAAAAAAACACTTAAGGCTAACAGAGGCTAGAAGTTTCTGACTTGGGACAGGCGCAAAAAATGCTGTGGTGTTAAACATGTTTTATGAGATGTCAACACCCCCCCCCCCCTTATACCTCTAGCTAATGTGGAATAAACAAACACACAACAAAATGCAGAGTAAAACTCAGTTGTTTTATAAAAGTAAGGAAATGTGGTATGACGTTTTTCTTTAAAATACAACGGATCAAATTCTTATATCGAAATAAGAATAGATGTAACTGCCTGTTGATTTCAGTATAGGTTTACCGAAAAATTTACGAAAACGAAAATAAATATTACAATAATTCCAAACTAATGCTTATACTGAATTAAATTGATCTTAATTTCTTTAATTATTATTGTTAAAGCAGACAAATCAAGTACATAAAATAAGGAGATGTGGCATGATTGTCAAAGAAACAACCATCCAAAGAGTTCAAATGACGCAGTTGTAAGCAACTATAGGTCACCGTACGCCCTTCAACAATGAGCAAAACCAACATCGTTTATCGTTATAAAAGGCCCGACATGACAAAATGTGAAACAATCAAAATGAGAAAACCACCGACCTACTAATACACATAACATCACACAAAAGGTGATTCATGCAGTGGAAAGTCTAGGAAATATAAATTATGTATAGAATGCACAAAAATCCTCTAAAGGGGTTAAGTCCATGACCTGCAGAGTATTCATGTTAAGAATAGAGAATAATGGCAAAAAAAATCAAGAAAAGTGAAAAATGGGCAAAAAAAATCAAGAAAAGTGAAAAATGGACACAAAAAAAACAAGAATAGAGAAAAATGAGCAAAAAAAGGATACAGAATAATGAGGTGCTAAAAATTATAAGAATACAAAATAATGGGGAAAAAATACAAAAAATAGAGAAAAAATGCAAAAAAAACTAAAAGGATTCAGACCTTCATTCCGTCATTAGTCACTTTTTAATAGTATTGTTGCCAAGTTATATGGGCTCATACTTATTTGTTTTGAAATATTATTGCCCGAATGTCCGAAAGTGAATATGGCATTACTATAATGCTGAACATAACAAAAGAGTGCTGATACAGACAATCTAATAACAAAAGAGAGCTGATACAGACAATCACATAACAAATGGTCATCGGAAGATTCAATTCAAATTTTTGGAAATAAAACGTAAATTAATGAGGTTGAACGCTGTAGGGAAATTAAAACATGTGCATATTTTGTTCCCGCCTAATATGAAAAAAGCTTTGATGACATAGATAGCTACATAATACATCTAATGTAAACCTATACAAAAAATTGTTTATCAGGGGCGGGAGCATGGGGGACAAACGGGGGACCGGGAAAACAATCCCAAACTACCAACAGTGGGGAGGGGGGACAAAACTATGTTTTTACACCCCACACACAGAGTCACTGTTTTTGCTTTTCACTTTCAAAACTGTCCCCCCACTATTCAGTCTTTTCCTACGCAAACGTTTAGTTACCAGATAATCTGTTAAGTCCTAAAAATCAGTCAATATTCAAAATACAACGACTTTGAATCAGTTGATTACTGTAGGATGTTCTTTACACAGATTGGTAAGCTTTCCATCGTCTGTGGAAACTAGAAAGGACGTCATCACGTTATGGTTTCTGGGTAGCGTCCGTCAATCCAGGACGACCCATGTCCAGGGGCGGATCCAGCCATTTTAAAAAAAAAAGGGGGGGGGTTCCAACCATATGTCCCCCATTCAAAAGCATTGATCGTAAAAAAAAAGAGGGGTTCCAACCCCCGGAAGCCTACCCATGGATCCGCCACTGATGTTGTAGTATCTACTTATATCATATATTGTTTCATGATCGTTCCGACTACGCTTGAAATAGTTGCCACTGGATGTAAAGAAAACAAAAATCAATCAACCACGTTATTGTAAAAGCTTCTCCGATTACGAGATCGACAACATTTTGCAAAAACAAAAGAACAAGTTTCTCAACTTTCTTACGAATGCGGCGAATAACAAAATTATTTATCATCTTTGATAAAGATTTTAACACGTGACTGTTGATTATCGTTCTGCGTGCCTCAAAGGCACCTCTCTTTTCCTGCACTTTTGGAATGGAACCTCATTTTTCATCGCCGATGTCGATTCCCATTTGTTTACGCTATGAAACGGATATCTACACACACGTATATACTAGAGAACAAAAACGTAAAAAAATGTATGAATTCTATTTGCTATCGTATATTGCAATATATGTTTTAACCCTACGAACTTACGCATTAGTTCGATATTGTTCATTTTAGTTTTTACCTTTGCATTTACAATATGATCTTGTCCAATGTTTGTACAATGTTATTCAAGTTAACACAAGGTGTATAAGATCATGTTAAATAACATGTTAACAGGATTAGTGTAAAATACAACAAACATAAAAATACCGGAATCAAATATTTCCTTTTTATGCCTTCTCAACAACAAAAGAACAAAAGAAACTTAATAAATTGACCCATGACATGTCATCTCATATGTTTGAATGTTCCTATTGTTGTGGTACAACTCGTACACATTGACTATTTTGATTTGTTTGTCAAAGAGGGACGAAAGATACCAGAGGGACAGTCAAACTCATAGATCGAAAACAAACTGACAACGCCATGGCCAAAAATAAAAAGACAAACAGACAAATAATAGTACAGATGACACAACATAGAAAACTAAAGACTAAGCAACACGAATCCCACCAAAAACTGGGGGTGATCTCAGGTGCTCCGGAAGGGTAAGCAGATCCTGCTCCACATGTGGCACCCGTCGTGTTGCTTATGTTATTACAAATCCGGTAAATAGTCAATCTTTGTATATAATAACAGTAAAATCTAGAGAGTAAAAATCGAGTCCGATAAAAACACAAGTTTACTAAAGAACTGCATTAATTAATAATGAAAATGTAATGTTCACATGGTTATGAAATTATTATTATTCAAGTATTTATTCTTTATGAGCTAATTACTGTGTATGTTAATTTATTTGTGCACGCCTCTATACTATTGTTTTGGGGTTTAGGAGAACAAAGATATATAAAGTACAAGAGAAAAAAATCACATGGCATAAGAGAGAGCAAACACATGGCTACTAACAGATTAAACTGTAACCTCCAGGTTATTAATTCAGCTGCCATAGTTCTTTTCTGTCTTAACCGCCATATTAGATGTTTGAATATTATGTTATATCTAATTAAGAACCTGAAAACTTCGGTTCCCAATTAGCTAATGGACACCAAATAGACATTTAGCAATTGATAAGCAATATATACATTTGCATGCAAATATTTTCTCCGGTTTCACTTCGCTCCATTCCTGACAACATTTTACAGGTTGCCAAAATTAACATTATAATCTTGTTTTATTACTTGAAATTACTTTTTATAACACATAATAAAACTGCAACTAACAAACGATCTGTGAAATGATTAAACGCATAACTTACATTTATTAAGATGAAAATGTAAATATTTAAAAATTTCTGTGGTTATTTGACAAGCACCTGGATTAAACACCTGTAAATCGTCAGGTACAATGCAAAATATCTACATCACCAACCTAGTGAATCCAACACAATACATATTTAATAATAAAGGCGAAATCGTATTTTATTGTAAAAGACAGTTTTATATATAGTAAAAGGGAAGGGGGTTAGTCTAAAATGAATAATTTTAAATTAGTTGTAAATATAAAAGTGGGAAATTTCCTGACGGTGCGAATTTCTCCTCCGTATCAAGTAAGGAAGTGTTTGGATATACAATACTAATTGGTACTGTGCTGACTGACAATTGGCATAAAATTAATAGTAGCCTCTAAGTTAAGTACTCAAAGAAAAAAATAATTCTTTCCGTTTTTCTTCTTGTATATTTAAGTGGCGAATGCAATGCGTGAAAAGTATGGGGGAATGTAATCCATTATTTTGTAATTACTTTTTTTTAGATTAAGGACACACTTTCAAAAATTACTTACTATGGAGCACCTGTTTTTCCAGGTTGTTATTCCTGCCACTTCTTTTTAAATTTTGAATCCGCCATGCAGCCCTCTCAGTTTTTCTCAAATTTTTTCTTCATCTTATTCATTTGGATTCATTCAGTAAAGTATAAGGTTATTTTTCTGATGAACGAAATTACCGACGACTCCTCCCATTCGAAATGGATACCTGTGATAATTTGATAATGTATTGGACATTTAATAAAATGTGTTTATTGCGATGAAAGTGTTCGTTGCTGCACCGGTATATTTAAATTACAGATGAGGCATTTGAAATGATTGTCGTCTGCCCTGCAGACGGTCAATTCGCCAATAAGATAGTGAACTTAAACCTTAACATTTTGAATAAAATATTTTTGAATTTGTGATTGAAATACAATTTTGGATTCATAACATTCGACTCATCATTCATAATGGAGGTTTATTTACTTTTATGCAAGTTGTCAATTGTGTTTTTAAACTTATGGGAGTTTTACGAGTGCGGTAAGTTTATTTTTAGTTTGATATATTTGATTTGACAATAGTATGTAATTAGATTTGTTGATATTGTCAATTTCATGTCAACAGTATAGTTTACAGATGATTAAATTGTTTAAACAACGAATTAAAAAAAATTATTTGGATCTGCTGTTAAAGGTTTTGAATTAAAAAAAAATGATATGGATCTATACTATTAAAGGTTTCGAACTCTTATGTGATTTATACAGTAGATATAGATAAATTCATGCATGTTTAATTCATATGAAATTTATACAGTTTTTTTTACCAATTACAAATACACACAAGTGAGGAATATGACAGTTGTTTTCCATTCGTTTGATGTGTTTGAGCTTTTAATTTTGCCATTTGATAAGGGACTTTCCGTTTGAATTTTCCTTGGAGTTCGATATTTTTGTTATTTTACTTTTTGCAGATAAGGCCATGCATGTCTCCATGTGTTTTTATCAAGCATATAAGTTAATATTGTTTATAGTGAATTTGATATCGAATGGAATAAAACAGACATAAGCAGACCGTACGATTTAAGAGAGGGACAAATATCCATCAAAATAAGAGGAAAGGGGAGGGGGAATTTTATCTTTTATATGTGGAAAATCACAATTAGTATATTAAATTTATGAAATATTAACACCACTTTTATTTTTGGACTTAACAGTTAACTAAAACTGAATAATTAGCGATTTAATCTTTCTTCTGTTTAAAAAAAGTTCAGAGAAAAGAAAGATAAAAGTGTAAAAATATTTTGTTAGAAACGAAATACTTTTCCGTTTATTGGTTACAGTGTTGAATACATTTTGTTTATGAACAAACTTTTAGAATACGAATTGTAAAATAGAAGAAAGGGCAAATCGCTATTCATTCAAAAAAATATCAAAAAAATTTCAGCAATCTTAAGATGTCGCATCGCGACCTATAAAAAGTTGTAGAACTGGTTGCCACGCAAGGCCTTTCCTCTAGGGGACTGATTGTATATATTATCTAAAGTGAAAACATACTGTAAAATGCACTATTTATGCAGACTTGCTGTTTACATTAATTTTATCTTGCATATCAGTGTTCCCTTATCGAATATTACATTAAATTATAGTAGATTTACACGGAGTTTAAATATAGCATGTAATTAACAGTCCATCAGAAAAATGCACCAAATTGAATATATTTACAACTACTGGGTCAATGCCACTGCTGGTGGAGGTTTCTCCATGAGGGTATCACCAGTAGTCGGCACTTCTGTGTTGACATGAATTACCATGGATATGGTCATAATTATAAATGAATTGTTTATAAAAATTTGACTTTATTTTCGAAATACTAAGGGTTTTCTACCCCAGGAATAAATTACCTTAGCTGTATTTGACAAAACTTTTCGGAATTTTGGTTTCTTAATGCTCTTCAACTTCGTACTTTATTTGGCTCTTTTCGAGCGTCACTGATGAGTTTTTGAAGAAGAAATTATATGATTTATATAAGATGAAGAAATATATATAGCTGAATAACTATACGAACATTTCATTGTTTTTGGGTCTTTTTTACAAAATCACAGTGTATTGTTTTATATTGTGTGTATAAATGTCATGCTGCCCATCAAGGGCCCTTAATTGGAACAATAGATATTCTTATTGTTATAGATATAGATTTCGATCTAGATTTTATTTTAAATTGTCAAAGAAAATTATTAGACGTTTCTCCTTTCCGTGGATGAGTGGTCATTAAGGAAAAAGACAACAGATTTATTGATATAAAAAGATTCAGTTTTTCGCTTCACGTCCTCTTTTCCATCATAAAGCTCACTTTGTATATATTTGTAGTTCACTCACTGTCATTTATTTTTATAATCGAAATAACTTTTTATTTAAGGAAAGATATAAAGTTCATAAGAATTTGAATCCTTCAAAATATGTAAAAGATACAATTCGCTGTTGGTCTTGCAAGAGTTTTACGACTTTAATTGGTCTTAAACTTACGGAAGTCAAACACTTGAGGTTCTGTGAATGGCTTTTACATCATCTAAGTAAATATACCCAAGTTGTTTTCTTATCTTCAAAGATATACACTGTATACATAATGTTATTGACCTCTATTCACTAATTTTCTTAAATCTGAAATATACGAAAATTTGTCTCTTGAAAGTTTGATAAAGTCATAAATATTAAGTAGAAGCCAACAACTTTTGAGATAAAATTCACAATTTTCAAAATGTAAAAAAAAAAAGGTGGAGACGAGAGTTATTTACGTTTTTCAATACAAGGAAATTTGGCGTCCATTTCGCTGAACTATAGTATACATTATTGTCTAGGGGCCTGCTGAAGCCCGCCTCCGGGTAATGGATTTTCTCGCTGCGTTGAAGACACATTGGTGGCCTTGGGCTGTTTTCTGCTCTTTGGTCGTGCTGTTGTCTGTTTGACACATTCTCCGTTTCATTCTCAATTCTATGATTTATATAAGACGAAGAAATATTGTAACTTAATAACTATATGAACATTTAATATTTCATTTAAATGTAATTTTTTTGGGTCTTTTTTACAAAATCACAGTGTATTGTTTTGTGCATGTGTATAAATGTCATGCTGCCCATCAAGGGGCCTAATGGAATAGAACAATAAATATTCTTATTCTTATTCTTATAGATCTCGATCTAGATTTTATTTTAAATAGTCAAAGAAAATTATTAGATGTTTCTCCTTTCCGTGGACGAGAGTTATTGATTTACAAAATATTTACGTTTTTCAATACAAGGAAATTTTCAAAAACTTATGATTGTAAATTTTATATATATTAAGTCACTTAATTATCCGAACACCACGTATGTATACCAGATTAAGAGTTTTTAACACTTTTATACACAAGATGCACACACTTTTTGATTTCTAGTTAACTTGACAAACGACTTTTGTATAACTCCCTTTAGGGGAACCCAGTTCCGGCTTATAAGATTCAATATACACTGTAAAATTGACGAGAGCCCTGGTCCCCTGTATCTGTTCGTGTCCTCTCTGGTGTGGTCCTTTCAATGTTATGAATGCGACTATTCGTTTCCTCTCTGGTGTGGTCCTGTCAATGTTATGAATGCGATACAATTATAAAAATATAAGTTTGTTATTTCTGCTGTTTGTTTATGCATGTTCAGTGTTAACACTTGAATAAAAATGGCCACACTGTCAATTAGAAGAACTTGAATAATCGTCCACTTTACATTATCAGATTTATTAGCGCATAGTATTACGTTTGGGAACAAAAAAGAAAATTCATTGACCTCACATTTCTATAAGATTAATATTTATCAACAAGATATTTAGATCTTTGAAGAAAGTTATTTCACTTCTTACATATAAAATAATTTTAAAAAATCAATTAAATTGGGGGTTGAATTATCTTGATTTGCTGACCGTAGAGTGCCATGTATGGCAAGCCTTTTTACTATTTATTCGAACTTCAGGATATCTCATATAATATATCAGATATCTCATATAATATATAAGATATCTCATATGATATATAAGATATCTAATATAATATATAAGATATCTTTTATAATATATAAGATATTTTATATAATCTAGTTTGTATAAGATATCTTATCAACTTTATAAGATATCTCGTATACTTTATTAGATATCTTGTATACTTTATAAGATATTTTCTAAAGTTCATAAGATATCTTCTAAAGTTCATAAGATATCTTATAAAGTATATTAGATATCTTATAAACTATATGAGATATCTTCTAAAGTTTATTAGATATCTTGAAGTTGGAATAAATAGTAAAACGGCTTGCCATAGCCATGGTATATGTCAAAATATTTATTCAGCTTGTTGTGCAAGAATAATATGTTGGAAGATTGACCTGAACCCCATATCCCTATATGGTAATGGAAGTGTTTGCAATGCCTTAGCATACGGGTTAAATAAGGGGTCAACGAAGCAGATGACTGATTACTTGGTGCTTAATGTCCAGTTGCAACTATTACAGGTGTATTAAACATAAAAATATGCTATTATCAAATGATTATATACGTCTTTTCAATTTTGGCAAACAATAGATGAAAACTGCCCATAGTGCAAATAATTATTCTTTGGTGAAGGTTTTTATGTAGGACTTAACAAAGATGGCTTATCTTGTTCATTGGGTATAGAAACAGGTCACACTTTCTCCGTCTGACGGGTACAACTTCCTCGTAAGGGTAGCCTTTTTTGGTTATGCGAGATGTAATTAAATTCGTAATATCGTCTGGTGGGAATGAAGGCGTTTAATCCAATGCATTCTTTAGGGAAAGTGCTAAATACTCTCAAGTTAAAGAACCCTCCAAGAAATTTAGGGCAAATTATAATCAATATTTTTTTCTTTCGCGCGTTCTCTTTTATGAATGGACAAGAATCGCTTTTTCAAAGTTTTGAAATAATGTGAATATGACCCCCTTCCTCCTACCCCCTACCCTGACAAAATTTTGAAATAATGTGTATATGACCCCCTTCCTCCTACCCCCTACCCTGACAAAATTTTGAAATAATGTGTATGACCCCCTTCCCCCTACCCCTACCCTGACAAAATTTTGAAATAATGTGTATGACCCCTTTCCTCCTACCCCTACCCTGACAAAATTTTGAAATAATGTGCATGTATGACCCCTTCCTACTACCCCTACCCTGACAAAAAAAAAACCAAAAAACTAAACAAATGAATGAATAAAGCAAAACGTGCATAAGTTAAGCCAATTACGTGCTCATTGTTTATGAAAATATCACTAAAGTCAGCTCACAAAGCTTCGGATAACAGACGAACAGACTCAACAATCACTAATCACGCCGGTTTGTTGAAGTGCTGGTATCAAACTCATTCCGTCATTATTTTCACACCAATTTTCCTGTTCATAAAAATTGAGTCCAACTCTGAATGTCTTCATTGACTATCCATTTAAACTTCTTTTTTTTTCATTTTTTATTGTTCAAAATTTATCTTGACATACAACTCTTTATCACGAATC